TTAATTTTTTTATTCAATTTAATCCAATTTAAATGGCGACGCATCATTAGCCAATCATTAGAAATGATTGGCGGGGCGGCGGCATAGGGCCGGGTCACATGACTCGTGGCAGACGGCTAACAGCCGACTTAACCATGTCGGGTCTGCAGATACGACGGTTGGATCAAGCCACGAGAAATTTGGTGGCCTTAAAGCCGCCACGTCGCGTCCTGTAACCACGAATGGACCTGCGCGATTGATCATCGAATCAGGTTTTAAACATGATCGGATGGTTAGGAATGCACTAGAATGTTTTAGTTAAAAAATGAACTGAAATATCAAATGCTCATAACTCTAAAAATACTTTATCAAACTTCAGGAAATTTGAAACATAGCTTGAGGGCAATCTAGTCTTGCAATGCTTGGAGTTTGGAGGCTCCATGCATTACAAAAATTCTACAGTTTCAAATTTTATTTCTACATATAAGTCAAGATATCTTACAATGTAGTCAGTGGATTTTTGAGATATTGGTTTCTTTTTTCTCCTGATGAAGTCCTCTACAAGTTTGCTGAAGACTCCAAAAGCTTTTGAAAGTTGGATTTGAAGTTGTTGAAGAGAGATGAAATTCTCTCACTAGAATGGTCTCTCCTCACTAAAATAGTGATTTGAGGTAATGATGGGGGAATGCTTGGGGAAGCCTTAGAAATAGCTGGAGGAGTGGGGGAGGGTTTTGAAAGGTTGGAGGCTGCTGGAGCTAGGTTTTTTGGATGAAATGAAGTTGAATCCTTGCTTTAGGTCAAATCCTCCACACTTAACCTATTGCTTTTGAATTGGATGGCTTAGATTTAAGTGAGGAGGGTTTAGATGAGTACCATGTGTCCCCAAGGCAGCTCAAAACTAGGGGAAAGGGATGGGGTTTGAGTGTGACTTCCCTTTGTTCATGGGAGGGGGACCACAAGTTTTTTCTTCATTTGGATAAACCAAGCCTAAGCATGGTTTAAGGAGCTGGTTTGGGGCCTTTTAGGACAGGAAATTAGCCACTTTCCAGCAAGTTTGAGCATGTTTTATATTGGGGATAGGGAATGCCATGGTGGCATGGCCACGTAAGCTCAAATAAGGGTTTATTTGACCATTTGACTGGTCAAACTAGTCAATGAGAGTGATGTGGCTGTCAAAGGGATGTGTTTGGCTGGTTGGATGTGTGGCTAAGTGCTTGAAGCCAATGGTTTGAGATTTTGAGCAAATGCATGAGATTGGAGAGGGTTTTGACTTGGAAGATTTTGGACATGCCAACGATGTCAAATGAATAATTTTGAAATATCAAATTGATTTGAAATGGGTTCAAGTTTTGATTTTGACCATAGTTAGGTTAAGGGTTGATTTGGTCAACCATCGTTGATATGGTCAACTTGGTCAAATCAAAGGTTGGGTTTGGATCTAACAAGTTCAAATAAGTATTTTGAGATCAATGGAAGTGGTCCCACGCATTGTTGAGGTCATTTGGATTAAAATTGGCATTTAACTTTTGGTCAACCCGATCAAACTAAAGCATGGGTTTAAGTTTATTTTTTTAAGTGTGGGTTTATGTTCAATGCACTCCTAGTGAGGTTTAGGGTGTATTGGAAGAGGTTTCAAAGATTGGTTTGATTGTCCCATGTTGAGTTTTAGGGAAAGGTTCAAATCAACCCTTTAAGGGCATTTTGATTATTACCCCGGATCAACTATGGGTCAAATTGAATCCAAAAAAATACAGTTTATTGGTAAACTTGCCATATTTAAGGTCATGGGTAGGGTCAAAGGCTTTGGGGAAGGTCTCAATATCAGATTCCACAAGATGGACGGTCTAGTGGCATAGGCTGTAAAAATTTGAAGGTTTTGTAGCATTTGCAAATCATTTTAGTTTCTGGGGTTAGAAGCGTCGGATTGAGCTCGAATTTACCCTAGAGACATGTATGATCAATATGCAACTGATAAATAATGAATCAAATGTCATTCGGCTTAGTTATAAGAAGACTAAAAAACACCCAAAAAGGGGTTCAGGACATTGACCCTTTACCCTAGATTTTGACTTGGAATTCTGGATTTGGATGCCGTTATGAGTTTGAATGATTGAGTCTGAGTTATCCAAATAATTGATAGTCAGACAAATGGTCATTAATGATTGGATAAGATTAGAGTTTGATTGAAGGTTGATTCAAAATTTGGAGCTAAAAATTGGACCAGAGGTTGAACTGGGATTTGATTAGAAACTAGATTGAAATTTGACTGGGACATATATGAGTGACAGGTAGACAGCTATCAACCATGAGGTCACTAAACAGGGATCTGTATGGGTCCTGATGACCTCATACAAAAATGAGATCAATAAAAAGCAGCGGGAGAGTCTGAGTATATTGCCTGAGAAACTGATCAAAGAAGCTACCACAACAGTTGAGGGAGACATGCTTTTGAAGAAAACATCAGTTTGGCAAGATTGTTGACCTGCTTGGTAGGCAAATTAGCCAAGTAAAGGTTTTTTGGTAGGCTGATTGGGAGATTAGGGTGACATTTGGGCAATCTGGGTGAAGTTACTTTTGGTCGATCTAACAATGAAAAATGTCAGCATTGGATATAAGAGGATGGAAGTTGGACGTTCAAGTAAACTTTCTTCAAGGCCTATTGACTGTCAGCAAGGAACATGTTCAGGTTTATGATCTAGCATAAATGACAAAGCATTATACTAAGCAGCATGTAATAATATTTTGGGATGGATCAGTGTTAACATTCAGTATTCATGTTTTTTTGTTAACATAAATTGAAACTTGAGTAATTTGTCAATATTAAGCTTTTTATTCCAATTTATGTAATATCATAGATATTCTTTTGATGCATGTTTTCTCCTAAAACACTAATTGTATGTAGGATATAAATAATCCTTACATCCGAGAAGTTGTATGTCTTTTTTTTTATTAGGGGGAAGAGGAGTGGGAGGGGTTTTGACAGCCGGTGCTCAAATTTAATTAGACAATAAAAAAAAAAATACAAAGAGCTAAAATTGCTTCAATCAAAGGGGAATATGTAGGATATAAAATGAATTAACAAAAAGTTAAAAAAAAAATTCAAAAGATATTGAAAGGTCAATAAAATGTGAAAGGACCAAACGTGAATTAGATCATGGGAAAAGGAGTATCTATTCAAAAGTATCCATCACTGATTCCTTCTTTATGTAAGAAAAAAAAACTTGTGAAGAGATTCTATTTCACTCATGAGACAGATGAATTACATGATCTAACAAAGGCAAAGCAAGGCAAGCCTGAAGTGGATACATGAAATCAAATCATAAATATCCTGACTTGTCGTCATTGTCTAAATTTGATAATAAAAAGCCAAAAGTTTGACACATGATATTATCAGAGATGAAGATATGACCTAAGGGCCAAATATGATAAGGCCATAAATTACCAATGATACCACTATCATAAAGCATGAAAGAATCCAAATTATCTAAGAAAATAATCATATTTGCATCTTGATGGTTAATTTCCTATGTGATGACCCAACTTGCTAGGTATCTCAACATCTTGACAGATTTAAAAAATATAGATTTTTATCATGGCCTTCTTGTTATGCATCAAATAAATAAATAAGAGAATCCCCCATCTAGTCAAATATCGAACAACTAACCAATGTAAATATCAAATTAGGCATCAATAACCAAAATAAAATAGACTTATGGAAGATAATCGGATTCTCATAGAGAGATTTGACATATGGAGAATCTTTGAAGAGTTAATGCTATCATCGATGAGGAATCTTGGGCAGATCCTGTCAATTTTCTTTATATGGAAATGAGAATAAAGAGGGTTCTAATACAATAAGTAATTAGCTTTGATTTAGCGAATATGTGAAGTTGAAGTTTACTAGGGAAGGAGACGGTCTTAGGATTCCAACCATCAATGATTGCCATAATTTCATTCAAAAGCCCTTGATAATTAAAGCATTGATGGAGAATGGATAGTGAAATTCTGCCGTATTTGAAGGATGGGGAAATAATTTGACAATCAAGCTAAGAATTAAAGAGGCAAATCTCTAGTGAAAGCAAATGGAGCTTTTTAATATTGTTATTTTTTGTTAAGCAATTAATGTTCTCTCAATCAAGTTTTGTGAAAGATGTTAAGCCCCCAATTGAGTTCCCAACGAAAAGACCTTCAGATAGCATATCGTGAGTCCTTCAAAGAAGAAAGAACATGAGGAAAGGGCATCATTGATGAAATCCATTGGTAGAGGTAAAAAAATCTTCAAGATTTCCACTGATAATGGTGGAGCATTGAACATCATAAATGCAAGCTTTAATCCAAGATATAAATAAGGGAATGCTAAGTCTTTGTTGACAATGTGAAAATGCTTTTTTATGACTAGTTTAACATAGAAAAGAGGTTCCCTGTTCTTTTTATTGAAGTCTTTCGTGATCTCACCAACAAGAATGATGTTATTAGATATTTTCTTTTGTTGATAAATGTTGATTGAGTTGGATGAATGATATCAATGAGAACTTGTTTCAATATGTAATCTAGAATCTTGGTAATGAAATTGGAGATTCAATTACATAGGGATATAGGTTTGAAGTCAGAACTTTCATTAGCATGAGAAGAGTTAGGAATGAGATTAATAGCATTAGCTTTGATATTTATTGGGAGTTTCTTAGTTCAAAAGAAGTGTTTGATGGCAGAAAAGCTTGTAATTCATGAATATCCCAAGTAGAGGTGAAAAACTTAATAGTAAAACATCAAAAACGGGAGAGGATTATGCCCTTTTTTTCATTGTATGTTCTTTTTGGCGTGCTGCTGACAATGCCGTTTTTTAATCCTATGGCGTGTATTCATCGTAGTAAGTGTGTTGATCTCTCTTTTTGCTGACTTGCCTTAAATTCTGAGAATTTAGTATGCGCTGATGTAATTTAATCATTAAATTAACTTTTAGACACAAACCTGGTATATTTCTACTCAATTGAATTGATAGTTTTTCAATATTTTATTTTCAGGTAAGAAGAAACTTACAAGCAAAGTAGCCATTGATAAACCAACTATAAACAATATTGCTTTGGACTCAGCCTCTGGAGCTCATGCTTAGGCAAGTTTTGTGCAGAAATATTTATGACACCGAAATGCAAGACTGCTTCCCCTTATGTTTCAAGCTTTAAAAATCTCAAGCTAATTGGTCTGCATTCACTACAACTCTTTTTAAATAAACGGTGGAGTGCATTAAAAAATGCCAGCAAGAGGAAAATAGGCAGCAGTAGTAATAAGCAATTTTGTACAACTGTTATTCTAAATTAGTATCAACATTCGCAAAACATTCTCCTTGCTGTGGTCTATAATTCATATGCCATAATTAGTAGTTCCAAGAGGCCTTTTTCTTTATAGAGTTTTTTTTTAAAAATTTATTTATTTATTATTATTATTATTATTATTTTGTAATAACTCATTTTTAAGCAAATAGCCTTTGATTATGATGGTTAAATTGAATAATTTTTGCAGCTTGATTTTGCTGGTATGAGTTTTGTATTCCTTGACAAATTTATGAGGTGAATTAATCATCTGACCATCATTACCTAAACTCAGCCTATTGAGATGGGTTAGCATGGCTTGATCTTGGCCTTGGTGATTTAGGTGCATCAGTGTTTCATGGTTTGCTTGGGAAAATGCCTCGCTCAGTTCCTTTAACTTCCTTGATCACATCCATGCATCTTCACTACTTTCTATTTATGAAGAGAGTTTGGGATAATATATTTAAAAGAAGGTTAGTTAAGACAACCTTCTTGGAAAGCTCTTGTTTGGACTTCTGAAGAGGGGTAATAGGGACATCCTTTCTCTTTGAGGTAGTAAGCCCTCGCTATGGTAGTTCTACTTCTAGTTCTTACTCTATCCATCTTGGTCATTGCTAGCATGTCAGGAGGATTCATCTATTCGACGAGCTCTATCACTAGCTCGATGTTTTGAACATCCTTCAATTCTAATGAGGCCTTTGTTCTTGGCCCTAACTTCTTAGCATCTTCTCCACCCCCTTAGAGCACACTTATTTCATAAATGAGATAATGATATTATAATGTTCATACATGATTTATGTGAATAATCTTCAAACTTTGAATTTCACATTCACAATATTTATGTCCTTTGCCATATGAATAATGAGACACATTCTTACCTTTTTTTTTGTTGCCATTATTTACAATATCTATGTCCTTTGCATTAACATTCTTCTTGGCATTTTTTTTTTTTTTTTTCTTTTGGAGGTGACTTTGGTGCACCTTCTTTCTTTATCATGATCCTTATATTATTGAAAAGCTATATTTGCTCATTATGAAGATGTTTATTTACAATATTTGGTTTGGAAAGGAATAGAAATATTTATAGAATCATTGGCTTTTAACTTAATAAATTTTATCAATAATTAAATTTCAAATCCTTCAAAAATATGAAATGTGGAAATTGGATGTCTCTCATCTCATTAACATTTGTTACTTATTTTAATTTTGAATGGCTCTATAGTTAGATCTCCACCATTAATTTGTCTCAGTTAGATTTTCTAACTTCATAGTTTATTGACTCCATTTTTCATTTGATGGTTGTTATGTGGAAATCTCTTTTCAACATGTTTTGTTCACTTTCAATATTATGCTGTTGCCTTATTTCTATTTTTTTTTATATATAGATTATTTATTTTGGTTCTTCATTTTACTACATGTTTATGCTACTTATAATCGATGATTTATTCTATATTTTAGATTTTTTTCCCTACTTGGAAGATGATGCCATCTCCAAACTACATGCCCTCAATTTTCCTTTTTGTATGGCTACATCATAGCAAATTATTAGGTCCTGTCACTGGACCTAAAAATAGGTCCGGACATTCAATTAAAACATGCCATGTCGCCTGTGCTTTTTGATTGTGCTTTCCTGCACTTTACCTGCCCTTTTTCTGTGCTTTAATTGTGCTTTTGACACGCTTAACTTAAAATAATATTTTATTAGTATCCGGACCTATATTGGTCCGGTGATCGGACCTAATAATTTGCCCTACATCATTGGTTGGAGTAGTCCTCTTTTGGCTTTGCCAAATCATTTTTTGCCCTATTTACTTTAATTTCTTTACTAGTTTTATTTTTTGGTAACTCTACCTTATAAAATTTTTTCTCTTAGATTTATGCTATGATTTTTATAATAAAAGTGATGTGGAGATTTCTCAACACATCTAACTTTTTTCCTATGTGGTGTAAGAAGTATTATGGATCTATATGAGCAATTTAATAAGTGACTATTAAGATATATAATTCTGATCCCAAGAGGGATATCTCTATATTGGATAGAACTTTAATTTGTGGCTATTAATGTTTCAAGATGGTTGCCTTTTGGCATTGGGGATGAGAATTCCAAATCTCATTTTTTTCTAATCCTTTGCTTCAGGGCTTCTCTTAGAAATTAAATTTAGGTCCTTATCTCACCATTAAGAACTTTTCCATCAATGTTTTGTTGGGCTCTATTATTCTTGATGGAAAGTGGAATATGCATAACTCTTTAGATTTAATGAACTATAATTGCTTCATTGTTATTATTAATTCTTCAATCAATCATGGGGCTGGTGGATACACAGTATATATAAGATTGTGCACACAGTGTACAAAATTGTGCACAATGTGTAAAAGCATTGTATATACTGTGTAGAAGTTTGTGCACATTGTGTACAAGCATTATACACAGTGTGTACAAACTTATATATGTATACATAGTGTGTACAAACGTCTTTCTTGATGTTTCTTTTCTTCTCTTGAATTTGCCGATGGAATTTCCTGTGCTGTCCTTGAATCCAATTCTTTGATTGAAAGAGGGATGGATTAAGCCTTGAACAGATTTTAGAGAGGTGCTGAGAGAGTCAGCTTGGAAGATAAATCAATGGCTTCTGATTTTGGAAATCATGCTAGAGAAGTACTATAAGATAAAATGTTAAAGAGATCTTAAAGTGAGAGGTGGTGATGGTATCTTAAAGGGAGTGAAATTGAGATGAGAGGGCTGTATAGATGAACTGAATCAAGCCAAGTATTATGCTATGCATTTATTTTTTATTCGAGTTTGGGTTGAGCTTAAGCATGACAAGAGCTTAAGCCCTTGTTCAAGCTTCTTTTTAAAAATTTTAGTGAGTTTGAGCTATAATCAAGTTTTAATTATGCTTAAGTAACTTTGTGTATGATGCTAATAATTTAAACAGATGGTCTTATCACTAATAATAAATATATTCATAACTATTTATCAAAATTGACAATATTTTACTTAACATAATTTCTAATATTAACAAAATCAGATTTTTAATCTATCAATTGAGCTATTTGTTTAATACTTTTTTTTAGTAAATTTTAATTAAAAAATAAAATCTGATTTTTAATCTATTTATCTAGTATATTTTAAACATTTTTATTAGCAGATGTTTATTAATAAAAAAATTAATTTTTCATCATATTTATACTTTGAGCACTATAAACAACTTTTAAAATTATTAGTATAGAATAAATTTGGTATAATAACATAGAATAAATTATTATAAAATAAGTCATTGTTAAAATTGAATTTTATCGTGTTTTAATTGAGTTGTTAAATAGCTAATGAGTGTATTTATGAACATAAATGGGAACTTTTATTACATCCAGTGAACGTACGCTCCTCTACGTTCGGTTTTAGACCAAAACAGCGCAATACCGAGTACCGAGTACCGAGTACCGAGTTGTACCGAGTTTTTTCAAAAAACTCGGTATTGCGCTGTTTTGGTCTAAAACCGAACGTAGAGGAGCGTACGTTCACCGGATAAAATAAAAGTTCCATAAATGGGTGTTATATAATGATTATTGGGCTATGCATGTTCATGAATATAAATGAACAATATGTCAAATATTCAAGCTTGCTCATTTGAATGTCAATCTTTAAAAAAGAAATTATTCAATCTTGTTAAATTATCTAAATAAATGAACATAGATGAGCCTTGTATGAATGAGTACTAAGTTGTTCATCGAGTGTATTGTTTTGTTTATAAACATAACAATGATTTTTTAGGGCAAATAATTTATATTGTAGCTTTTATTGTGAAGATTCACTAAGCAGCATGATAGAATCTATTAAAAAAAATTATCATGAATGAAATTGACATTCAAATTCAACAAAAAAATTTGCTAAAAGAGTACATAACAAGACATGTAGCATGCATTATGAATGATAAAAGAGATATTTTATAATATAATAATAGTATAATGTATGCCATCATATCATCAAATTAGGATAAAATTACTTTGCATGAACCAAAAATGTGTTGCTTGTTTTAAGATGATTTACATGCATTTATATACTATTCGAATGAAAACAATTATCAATGCATTTATATGCTAACATATTCATGTGCAATTACATCATACATAATTATATATATATCTCCAAAGATATCCACAAATCATTTATTATAATTCCTTTTATCTTTGTTTGTACCTTCGCATTGTTAACCTCATTATTCGAGATCAATGTTCCCGAAACTAATCCTTAGTGTCTATGTCTTCGTAGCCTAGTGTACACACCACCTTTAGGATTTCCCTTAGGAGGATGCTTAATAACGTAGAACTGACTCATCCCTATAATATGACTCGTATTAAACCCAGCTTATCTTGAGGCTTGTCAATGCAAATTGACATTTTATTGAGTTGAATTAATTTGATTGACGTTCAATTTAATGTATATGGCTCTGATTAGCCCAAATTGACTCGTCACGAGCCAATTAAGTTGGAATGACTTTAATCAAATAAAAAAAAGAAATTTAATTTTGTCTAATTTAAAATGTTAACAAAATCCACTCAAATTAATACACCAACTCTACTAAAATAGATTTTAAATTTATTCAAAATATATTACTATGAAAATTGGCTTAAATTAAAATTAGAATAATTTTCCATCCTCGCTCTTAATTGAATCAAAATTCAAACCAAATAGGTATAGTTAGGGTAGTTTTTGGACACGATCTACTTCTACTCTTAAGAAATCCTGGCTCTTTCCTTTCCTATTCTACCAAACTCCTCCCTCTCGTTCGGAAGAACCCTCACGTCTCCCTCGCATGTTAGTGAAACCCCACCCCATCTTCCTGCCCCTCTCTCTTGCAAAATACCCCTCTCGTCACCTCTATGTTTTGCACAACGCCAAGGCCGGACTGTTGGTTAGCCTTGGGATAATTTTGATGATATAATTCTAAATAACCAATTCACCCCGCCCCTTAGTTATCCTTGGGATAATTCATAGGTCTATCAACCTATACAAACTTTTCAACTGGTATTAGAGCTAATTTAAAATTTAAAGTTTATATTACTTTTTAAAAATTGATTATGGCTACTTTTAGA